TCTATCTATCTATCTATCTATCTATCTATCTATCTATCTATCTATCTATCTATCTATCTATCTATCTATCTATCTATCTATCTATCTATCTAAACAAGTCTTCATTCTATCCTAAAGTTAAAGCCCATTAACTATTCGAAGCACATGCCATCACTTGTATTCACAATCTCATTGTTTCACACTACCAACAGCTCTAACGGTTTGTAAGGTCGATCGAATGGTAAATCGACAGCTTTGCCTTTTGTCTCCACTATCTCTTAATCAAGACATAAATCTGTTAGACTTTAGACACTAACCTAATCTGCCTGTAAATCTCCCTCTCTTTTCTTCCCCCACTCATGAAAAAGACCTGAAAAAGTATAAACTCCTCCACTTGAGAGGGACACACCTTGGAGTGAGCAATCCACTCTTTCCTGAATGAGGACCATAGTCTCAGACTTGAAGAGACTCATTCTTATCCTATCCCTCCATTTTGATTAGGCTAATGAGACCACAATTTCTGCTAAAAGCAGAGATGCAATCCTAAAATGACTGAACAGGAAAGTCTCCAACCCTTGGCCTTGCACCAAGAAATTCTGTCCAGAAACACAATGAACAGAATCTGTGGCATCCCTGGAGGAGTCGAACACTCAACAAAATGTGTCTGACTAACTGCCAACAATGCAAACCAAGCTTCCATTTTTTTTTTTTACTTTTTCCCTAACATATTCCCAGGGCTCTACTTTCAGTATGGCAGGCATATCAATAGGACTGAGAAATCCTATTCCCACCAGCACTTCCCACTGTGGCAGAACACCACCTCCCCCACCAGAGGCATCTAATAGTTTGCCGGAATCCCTCACCTCACCAAATTGTCCCCGTCTGAGTCTTTTGTATTTGTTTTGGTGTGTCCTCTGGAGTCCCACAAGCTAGGAATAAGTTCATTGTTTGTTGGTTTTTACAGTTAATGATCTAGGTTTATTCACTTTGCAAATTATTGTTGAGCAGCAGCAAATCATTTAGTTTTATCAAAGTTTTCTGAGGAAAAAACTGATGACGCCGACACTGTGTCAAGAATTTGTGGAGGCCTCGTCCTTCACAACAACAAACTCTCAGGGAAATCTACCAACACGTCCTGAAACTGAAATAGGAGTCATGATTTACAAGGCAGATCGTGGCAGTACCAAGTCAAAGAGATCTACTTGTGTTTTTTACAATGCAAAAGTTAAATTTATCCCAACAAACAAGCACGCGTACCCTTAGGTTAAAAAGCTGACAGCTGAAACTAATACTTGAAGGACGCATTTTGGCTCAGGGTGTTTACAAAAGCGTCTTGTACACATGTGGTGGCAAGCTGCGAGGAAATCCAGTTTGAAATGCAGTCTTTGTTCTGCAAAAACACTATTTTGTAAAATGAGCATGCACTAAGGCAAGTTCTTCATCAGTTTGCTAATGAAATACAGACAGACTCATTAAACATTCAGAATTTTCGCAATCCTCCTAGGCTAAATCCATGAAGAACTACGCACCACATGTGTCACATTGTGACAACAATACTTGTGTGACAAAAAAATAACATGGATTTGACAGTCGATGCTTGATAACTGAGATACAATGAACCTACCTGATGAATTTAGGACGTTTAAACGTTTCATGTAATAGAATTATACTTTTTACTTTTAGAGATTCAAAAGCACAACAAAGAAAGGCAAATCCATGACTCTGTGTGGGCACATCTGTATGAAACTACCATGCCCGGTAGTCAGAGCTCCGCAGGCAAATTGTTCTTCCAAATATTTAGACGTGGGTGCTAAAAACAGTGTGGATCTGGGTTTATATACATTGCTCCTACTATTATGTAGCCCATGTGCCACAAGCCTCTGGAAGGAAGTGACACTTGAACAGTGGGAACAGAGGACAAAGGGCTGCTTCTTTCCTCTCTCAAACCGGACACGCATTTCCACTAGCTTAGCTCATAGATAATCAGATTTTATTTTTTTCTTCCTCTTCTTCCTTCATGGGGACTTCCCAGTCAGACTTCTCATCCGGCTTTAATCCCAAGGGGAAAACTCTGGGCCCAAGGTTTAGATGCCTTGGGGAGCCTCCCTCAGCAGGAGATGGACAATGCAATTGATCTTAACTCTAAGGTTAATTAATTCAATTGAAGCTGATGGACTAATTGATCTTTGCGGTCCCACTGAGACGTGCCCCATGCCACTGATCTCTCAGATCAGTAAGGTGACACTTACTGATTGTTGAGGCTTCAGGACAATGCCCCCCATTTTATGGTCAGTGCCATAAAATGAGTTGTAACCATGGTTCTGCTATGTGCTGAATCTAGAGTGCCAGCGTGTGCACACTTATGTGTAGAGTAATGCTAATAATAACAAATTAGCTCCATTTCTGATTGGATTTATACACAACGTTTAACTGTGGCTTATGATAATCTCCAGATCTCGGTCATCCACCAAAAATTGAAATATTAACGAGAAAAAGTCAAGTTAAGTCATCAAATTACTGTCTGTCACTATCATTTATGACCAAATGTCTGTTTGCAAATTACTGCTGTGTTTACTAAGAGATATTTTAAAGATTTAAATTACATGTTTGTTTATTTTCATCTATGTTCAAATATCATACCATTAAAACACATAAGGAAATCAACAAATAATCACCTTTGCTGACAGCGTAATTCCTCTGACCGGCAAAATATTGGTCGTTCAATAATATAAATATTCTGTTACTACACGTTAAACCAAATGGATCGTTATTATTTTTCTCACTACAGATTTTAAATGTGATAAACACAGGGAACACTGCGCTGTTGCTGTCTGGAGCTCTTTCTTATTATCCTTCATTTCCGTAGACACGACATTGAGCCGAAACCTTTCTCTGTCAGTCACCAAAAAGATCTAGATGTAGACGTTGAAAAAACAAAAAGTGTCCTCATTGCCGTGCTGCCAGAAAAAGAAAAAAAAACTGCTGCCAACATCATAAGCTTCAGCTCTCTTCCTCGTGAGATTTAAGGCTCCCTCACTATTGTCACTGTCACCATTTGATGATGCATATATCTTTCTTTTTCTCACCGCTAAAAGTCAACCAGCAAACTTTGATTGCAGAAAAACTTCTTCCCAAACCTGGGCTTAAGAGAATATATACAAGGGGAGTGGATTTGAAGGCTCTTCATCTCAGGAACAACATCCTTTATTAGGACATTTTCACCGTCACTCCGAGGCCCATGCTCTCTCTCTGTGTGGATGGAAAGACACTGCTGGCATGTTTGTCTCTTGCTAAATAAGGACAAATACGTGTTTACCTACACAGACAACATAGTTGAGCATCTCAAAAGTGTCAGGAATACTTCATTGATCCCCCGGGGGGAAGTTCTGGGGACGACACAAACTCAGGAGGGCCTTTTTTGTGCGGCTGCACAGCTTCAGTCATTTCCGAAAAAAACCTCGTCCCCATTTTTCCTTTTAATGACATGGGAATGTGTTTGCGAGGCAGACAACAAGACAAACATTATTCTTGTTATCCCAAGGAGCAGCTCCTGATTCTCAAATTCTTTCCTGTCGAAATATACAAAATGTTACGTGGCATGAAGAAAGTAGCCCCAAACCGTCACTCGGTTTCTATCACAAAAGGGTTTTAAACAATCTCTTTGCGATTTCTTTTCAGCTGTCCATTTTGGTTTGGGCTTTTTTTTTGGCCCTCTAATCTTGCGGCTGAACAGAAAAACACTGGCAGTGTGAAACAGCGAGGGTGTGTTTCTGGCAGCAGTCAGATGAAACACAAAACATGGCACATGGGAAATGCTTCCATACAGAACATGGTAAAGATTCAGGTAGTAAAGTCAGTCTTGTGAGTTTTGTGTTCTTCTTGTGTTGAAACAGAAAAACACAATGCTGTCACACACTCTCTTAAAACATTTTGTTAGCATATGTCTGTTTCTTAATCAACATACACACTTTAGAGGACAGCCAACAGCAAGTCTTTGACAATAAATAAATCAAACTTGGAGAATGCAGCAGTTGTACTTTAAAGAGAGTATTAAAACAGCTATTAGGAACTAAAGACATCAGCAGTTTTGTCAGTCCAATTGAGGATTAAGACTTCAAAATGACTAGTGGCTTCTGCACAACAATCTAAACCCGGGAGCACTCCAGACATTGACAGTAATCCCTCCCATTCCATTTCAGATCAATGGAAACATCCAAACAGCTTTTATTTTGACTTTTTTTTAATCCAGAGGTCATTTTAGAAGGTCTTTAAGGATCCTTAAGCATTATGATAAATTCTAACAGAATACTTTCCAAACAACAGCATTATGTGTGTTTAATAGAGTTACATATATTCTGGTGACTTGCAAAGAAAAACATAGAGTTGTTGCAGATTAAAACATTAGATTCTCAAAAGGGAATGAAGACATCAACAAAACCAATGTGATTATTTTCATATGTGTTGATTTAAGCTAGTTGGCACAATGTTTACCGCAGGAAATACTCTCATTTTATAATGAGGTTTCTCAACTTACTTTTATGTTGCTTTTTAAAGATTTTTGTGCAAGAAAACAGATGTAGAGACACAAACTAAGCAGCGATATGTCAAAGAATGCAGAGAGAGAATCATTGTCCATTTAACACCAGGGCAAACACAGGAGTAGATAAGAGGAAAATCTCTCTCACACACACACACAAAAGTCGTTCGGAATTCATCCTCTGAACGTTTGAACCGATCCTATGGCGAATCCGTTTAGGAACTAACGAAGCAGGCCATTTCAGATTATTGCACGCGCGGTTTCTAATGATAAACGAGCACAGATCGAGACCGAAGCTGATCTAAGAACAAAAGAGAAAGACAAAAGCAGGCAAACTTACATAGTGTTTGGAGGGATTCCTTCTCTTCTGCACGTCCACTACATTAACGTCAAGGACAGTGCGGAACTGCATGTTGACGGAGCGAGCAGAGTTTGCACCGAGAAAAAAAAGCTACAAAAGACTACCTTCACCCATATGAGTGTAAAAGGAGACGCAAAAATCGCTCACTCCTGCGTTTAACAAAAAAAACAAAAAAAAACAAAGTGAAGCGGATGTGGGGCAAAAATAAAAAAAACGCTCCGCAATCAGGATTTCGGCTCATCCATGAATCGGTCGTGTCAGAATAGCATCTCAGAGCCTCTGGAGTTATTTAAACACATGACAACGCAATAGATCTGTCGTTTAAACCAACTTCTCCTCCCTGAAGAGGGGCTGCAGGGCTGAGCTGAGGGCCGGTCCGTCTGCGCGGGGCGGGCCCTGCTCCGGCCGGACGCGCTCCACCATCAACTCCACTCACACTGTTTGGTTTGGATCCACTCTTGTTTGCGTTTATTTCACGCGTAACGCTAAACGGGATACAGATTGGAACGGTGCAGTAGCCCCTATCCCCCCGAAACACCTCTGAAAGCATTTAATCAAGGGCGTGATAAAGGGAGACACGCCTCGGGGTTCCTTTTAAACGCACATCTGTAACCTCTGCGGGACAAAAGTTAAAGGACCCTGCTGTCCTCTAGTGGAGGAGGAGGTGCGAGCAGAGAGGAATATCCGGATAAATGTGCCACTGGGTGGCGCTACCCATCATTTCAGAGGCCGAGCCTTTCTTTGGCACCATTCTGCAACATTGGAGCGTTTTATTCAATGTTACAGACATCCCCAAAGGTTGTTTTTTTTAGGAAAAACGGTGGAAGTCTGAAGAACTCCGTTAATCAATGTTTCGACTGAGCTAATTTAATTTGAACTGGTGTGCTTTTAAAACAGAAGTCTATTCTGATACAATATAAAGGCAAATTATACAAGAACACCTTTTTGGTGGCAAACATCACAATGACACCCTGAAACAATGTGAAATATATGTCTCACAAATAAGTAAATGTACTTAGGAGATAGAAAACTTCTACAAACGTTTATGCAACGCAACTTCATATTTAAATTAGGTGAGTTATGTTATTTACCATATAGATTTTTTTTAAACTGGAACAAAACATGGTGTTTATACCAGAGTCTCGAGGCAACAGACATAACACAGCTACAAACCAAATTCAGGAAGGCTTTTGTCTAGATAGAGCTTTCAATATTAGTAGCTGCCATGTGATATTTTGCAATTGAATTTAACTTTTGTTCTTGAAAGAATTGCCGAGAGGATTAGATCTTGTCTTAATTTATCAACTCTATTTTTGCCATTGAATATTTTAGTTCCGATAATCAGTAAGGGATTTTGCAACACTGACTGATATCAAGCAAAGTGAAATATGCATTCTGTACTAGTTTGGATGCTGTGCTGCCAAAAATAATTGTCAGCCTTCATGATGCAAAATCATGCCAACAGGAAAGTTGTTAAACCGTTGCAGCTGTTATGTATTTCCAAATAATTGTAACTTGAAGAGGAAATGTCTAGGATGCAAAGCACAAACAAAATGTGGAATAACTGCATCACAGAACAGAATCGTCCACCCCACTGCCAAGGGACGACCATCTGCTGTTGTGATCTGTTTGAATACACTGAATTAATTCAACATTACTGTTGGTCTTAGATTAGTTATTGATTTGGGGACTTCCATGGGTGAAAATGTTAAAGGTCAAAGGGTTGATCACTGACCCTCTAACACAGGTATAAAACAAATTACACATGTAGAAATAATAAGTGTTCTATTGGCTCCCATCTACCCCTCATTACGACATAAGAAGTGGCATGCGTGATCGAGACGGAGGGGCTGAGCACCATAGCACGTCCTGCCGAGGAGATCCAGGAAACAGACGCTGCGTCCTAACTGAGTCAAGTTATCCATTCAAAGAGCAGGCAGCAGCGGAAACAAACACACCACTCTCCGAAATAAAACCCCGCAGCGGCTCGTTTCAAGATAGCATCGGTTAACTATTCTTGTGAAGTATTTCTCAATTCAAATTGTTTTGTGACAACACGTAACGTTTGGGAACGATGCGTAAAGTAGCACTATTCTGGAATACATTTTATTTCTCCAACAATTGATCTCAAAAGACCAAAACGTGAAGAAGTCTCTCTTTGACGAAACAGAACAAAGAAGGCTATACTATTCTGGATATTCATTTGTAAGATGAGTCTACTCGTCACGTTGACTGAAGGCCTTTCCTGAGGCCGTTGAGTTTTAATTTGAAATCTTAACGGAAGTTGGTGCACATCCGCACGTTAGCTTAACGCTATTCCGCTAACTTCTCTGTGAGCAGCCAACGAAACCTTGGGCTGCTATATTTTCACCAGTAACGTTCGACTATTTTTTTTAAATGTCGTAAAGGATGCGATGATATAGTCGGTATTTTCTGTTTTCAAATTATTTCCGATTAAATCAAACGGAAACGGTGGCGTATGCGAGCAGCGAACTCCTCTCCTCCTCCGCCTGCGTCCAAATGAAGGCTGTTAGCTATGATGTGATTGTGAGGAACCGCCGTCGAGGGAAGTTATAATTGACATTATCGTAGCTGAATGGCTACAACATCGGCCCGTCACCCTTCGTTTAACGCCTGCATGGTTTTATTCCGATAGCCCTTTGAGTTTCGCGTCGGGGGGAAACCGCTATATTTTCTTGGCGGAAATAACTGAAGTGGCCCCGCATCCGCGGCACTGTAGTTCACCCCTGAAAAAAAAAAAACAAGCATGTCATTCTTCAATTTTCGGAAGATTTTCAAGTTGGGGCCCGACAAAAAGAAGAAGCAGTACGAACACGTCCACAGAGATGTGAATCCAGAGGACATATGGGATATCATCGGGGAGCTGGGAGATGGAGCGTTTGGGAAAGTCTACAAGGTAAGTTAATGCGTTGCCATATTTCCGCCCTCCTGTTTTCGGACCCGTTTCTTGAAAGGCTCGTTTACAAACACGCGCACCACAATTGTTGTATTGTGCTTGTTGTTGCTCGGAGGTCATGAGACGTAACGTTATTGTGACGAGAGCTATGGCACAGCTCGTGTCCAGGCTACTGCCTCTAAGAAAGGCCAGAAACTTAGACTCTCCTTTCCAAATAATGCTACGACACTTCACTGCTATACTCTTGCCGACTATTACAATTTCGAACGAATACACATAAGCAATGGCGTCCACAGAGGGACAGCTTAAAGTTGCCCAGGGGCGTTTCTCCTTTTTGAGGTTTAAAACAGGCCCAGCTACTCAGGTTGCCAGGTTTTAAACGGGACATTCAGTAGCTCATTCCTTTGGTCAAACTGTTAAAGGCTGGGTCCAATGCCACGAGATCACTCAAATTCTCTAAAATGTCTTAAAAGTATATTGTTAAAGTTGGCTTTAAGGGAACTTAAACGCTCAGTCTCACCCCGTGAAAACAGCAGTGGACATTGTTTGGGAAGTGGTCTGTTTATCCCATGCACCTCAGCAGGTGTATGGGTGTGTGAGCAAATGCATTGTTACAGTAACAATATGTTAATAGTTTAATATGTTGGGCAGTTTTGTTTTGTGTTGTTTTTTCGGGACTGAAAATGTGTTATTTTCCTGTAATTTCTGTACTTTTTCTACTCCGATCAAAGACTAGTATGTCAAACATCATTGTCAAACCACCTGTTACCTCTAAATTACTTTTCAATGTTATCTTTTTGTTTGGTTCTGAGAACATACTTTTGATGGCTCATTCGTGGAAGATAGTTTGCATTAACCTAACCATGAGTGACTGTTTTCATGTCTTTTATCATTTTGTGTTGTAACAGACGTTAAACGGTTTCCCCCCTGTGTGCACCATATGCATGGTTCCTTCCTGTCTGGAACTCATGTGATCAAATAATACAGCTAATAGCCTGTGTAAATCTTAATTTGCCTTCATTGGTTTCCATGCTTTGTTAGCTCACTGAAAGAAATCAGATGACCCTCTTTGTTTCCCCATTCAAACCGTAAAGCCAATTAACACACAGTACGGCCCACATTCTACTGGGTGCGGGTTCCCACATAGAGAGAGAGAGGATGCCTCCATGAGGTCATGTTGCTATGAACTCAGAATAATACATAGTTATTTCACATGGTTTTGACGACTGCCTCTTTTAGGCGTGGTGGGGAAATATGAATAAGCCATTGAACAGAGAAGAGAGACCTCAGGCTGTGTTGAACCCTAAATAGTCAGGAAATGTGTCAATGTAGGACTTAACAAAAGTTCCTCAGATAATTGTGTTTAAACAGTGAGTCATTTCACATACCAGTACTAGTGATATTGTACTTGCACCGTACTGTGGGGAAAAAGTGCAGTGTCTGTGATGACCAAAGGCCACTGTGTTTTTAATTTATTTATTTTTACTGATAGACAAATCATAGCGTCAAGAAACCCACAGTCTGCATGCTGTGCTTATTAGGGATGGTCTGTCACAGAGACATCAGCCAGTACAAAGAGAAAGAGACGGGGAGTGTGTCAGGTCAGTGGGTAAATATAGGATCTGACACATCCGTTAGTGTTAACACTCCCTCCTGTTTCTTTTTCCCTAACTCTCTGACTTTGTGTCCGTGTCCATAAACATAAAACCCACAGCCAGCCCAGCTGCTTGTTTTATGATGTCCCGCTGCCATTCTTGTTTTTCGTATCCTCATACAACCTGAGTTTATCAATAGGGTTTAGTGGTGAGAGTTTATTAGAAATCCAATAAATCCTAAACTGCTTAGTAGAATCTCTTCTTATGTGACCATTCTGTTGGTGTTTCAAAGGGAGTAGATGAAGAGAGCGGAGTGGGAGGATGGGGCAAGAAGGGGAAGTGAGAATATTTCACAAGATCAGGTTTAGATAGAGTAGGTAGGAGGGTGATTGGTTCATTTCAAACATGCCTTGACTTCAAATAGCTTCTTTTTTTTAGTGGAAATCATCCCAAAAATGTATAAGCGTGCTATCAGGAAAAGTAAAGCAATGAAAGCAAGCATTGCTGTTCTGTATACATTGAAAATATATATGTATATATTCTGTTTAAATATTAGACCTCCCTTAACCAATATCTCTATGCCCCTTTTCATCATTTTGCTTATGTTGCTTTCAGGCCCAGAATAAACAGAATGGGACTCTCGCAGCTGCTAAGGTTATTGACACAAAGACAGAAGATGAACTGGAAGACTACATGGTTGAGATTGACATTTTGGCCTCATGCAACCACCATCACATTGTGAAGCTGCTGGATGCCTTCTATTTTGAAGGCAAACTTTGGGTAAGTAAACTAATGCCTACAAGCGTTTTACTCCCTCAAATGTGGCGGCTTATCTCAAGGTGCTGAGACAGAGGCTGGGAGGCAGAACTGAACAATAAGTCAGTAATAGTTTCACCTTAATACAAATTATAAAGAAGTGAATGTAATTTTTTTGTTTGTTTTAAGAAAAAATATGACTCTTTGATCTCTCTCCACCATCTGTGGACTCATCCAGCTATTGAGGGACATGGTCAGTAGATCTTATTGTGTGCATTAGGAGGCCCCGGAGCGATTAGGTCCTGGCAGGTGGTGTCATGTGACCGCCCCTTGTGGACCGGCTACAACTGCAGGAAGATAATGTAGTGGTTTTGGTGGCTGGAGAAAGTGTTTGTGAATAATTCAGAGCTCCATGTTGGTCATCCGTCTGACCCCTGTCCCTATGTGGGATGACGAATGAGTAACTGTCACTGCTTTGCATGAGCCAGTTCTTATTTCTACAGATCAATGTCTGCTGATAAAAGGAGTATTTTTCCACATGTGTGCAGCAAACTTTGAATAGTTTGGTGACAGGAGTTGTTTGGCCGAAATCTTATAAAAAGGGCAGCGCTTAACTGGATCTTGTATTTATGTATTTAAATCCCCTGAACCAATGAAGATGACCATTGTCGACATGTATATCAAATTAGCTCATATAACTGGAGCAAGTGGCTGCCCTATTTCACATCACAGTAATGGATGTGGAATTTGTCATGTTCACAAAATGCACCATGCCCTCCGGTTCTTCATTAATATGTCATCTTTATGCAAGTAAAGTCGTCTCGTTTTTAGTTAAAGTGATTAATTATGCCGACCTTTACCCAGCTGTTGGTAAATGTGTGAGGGGACTGCTGGCGTGCCTTTCATGGTTTTTCACACCTAGTTAATTTGATACAAATGCAGTGCTTTTAGGTATGTGTAGTTACTGTGCAGAGTGTAAGTTATTAAAGCTTTATGGGAAAGACATTTTTTGTTATAGAAATACAATGCATTTGAAATGGATCCTAAACCCTTTCTTTACTCTGTTAATGTTGCAGATTTGAGATACAGCTAAAATACCAAAAATCAGTCAAGTAGAGTCAGAAGGGCTATTAAGTGTCTGACTGACTGTCTCCAAAGTGTATTATCCCAGAACAAGTTGCTTATATATTTCCTGTAAAAGACATGTTGTTTACCTACATTGGAGAAATTATTAGAATGATGTGCTCTGACTGTTGAATTGAGGCCTCATTTCATTACCATTTTACATGTTTCTCTTTCTTTTTTCCAGATTCTTATAGAATTCTGTGCTGGTGGTGCAGTGGATGCCATCATGCTGGGTAAGTCCCTCTTTCCGTGAACAAGACAGGAAAAACTACATGAAGTTCTGGGGCTTTTTTTCCCTCCATCCTCAAGTGCCAACTCTTTTTGTTCCATCCCAAAGCCTCCACTCTGAGATTTCTTTCCTCTTTTGCCAGTATGAGAGGCCACTCTGTAATTATTGTGGCTCAGGTTTCAAGCAGTAGTGAGGCCACTTTTGCTGTCTGCGTTTTCAATCGTGTTTTGAAGGCTAAAGAACAGCTTTGTGCCTTTCCTACATGTAAATAATCCTGACAAAAATAGCACTTGTATCGCTTTGTGTATTTCGGATGACGTAAGGGTGGACTTTGTCTAGCAGTTGCTATTGGTTATCATTAAGGAATCACATGTCACATTAATCTGTCCAGAGTCTGTTTAATTTTACCTTGCATTATTATTAAAATTGTTAACAGAACTGGAGAGACCCCTGACTGAGCCCCAGATCCGAGTGGTGTGCAAGCAAACTTTGGATGCTTTGATTTACCTCCACGAGAACAAGGTCATCCACAGAGATTTGAAAGCTGGAAACATTCTTCTCTCCTTGGAGGGGGATGTCAAATTAGGTAATATCCTTTTTTATTTTTGGCATTGAATCCCTTTGAACATCTTTGAGAAGTCTGGAGCTTTGGCCGTATATGGCATATGTAGTAGAAAAAGCATTGTTTGCCCTGTGTGAAGCATGTACTGTTTTAACACTTCTTACCTTCTGTGGCTGATGATGCATTGAATTGGTTACATCATTTTCCACAAGTAAAGTCTCCGTGTTGCTGTAGCATCCATAGCTGCTGGCTCCCTGATGATTCATGTTCAGTAGGCAGAGGGTCATGATGGAGCCTGGCAAACAATAATTACTAAGCCATTCACTAGGGACATTGATGGATTTCTTGATCCCTCTTAGATGTAGATACTTAAAGTGGTGTGAGAAAAACAAAACGCTTGACTGAAATAGTTTCACAAGTTACAGCTACAATGGTTTGTGATGGCCCTTGAGAGGGTTATAAAAAACAACAACATTCTTCTCACTTTTCAGGTCCATTATTAAGAGATTAAAGTTGTTATGGTAATGTTGATTGAACTACTTAGGAATCACCACTCATTTCTACTTTCAGCTGACTTTGGGGTGTCTGCTAAAAATACCATGACGATACAGCGACGAGATTCTTTCATTGGCACTCCATATTGGTGAGTCAGACAGCAGAATACAAGAGGGCATTCCATCAGATGATTGTCTTAGCTCCTCGTGCCGAAGCATTGAATGTGGGGAAGTGGACAAAGGTCTAATTCAGTTTTGTGAATCCGAATTGCGAGAACAGAGTTTGTTCTAAATGCATATTCACTTGCAGCCCAAAATTGGCATTCTGCAGTCACAAACCCCCTGACTGAGTGAATATTTGCAGGATGGCTCCTGAGGTGGTGATGTGCGAAACTTCCAAAGACCGTCCGTACGACTACAAAGCCGACATCTGGTCCCTCGGGGTGACCCTCATAGAGTTGGCACAGATTGAACCACCAAACCACGAGATGAATCCTATGAGAGTGCTGCTGAAAATAGCCAAGTCTGAGCCACCCACTCTCATGCATCCCTCGCGCTGGTGAGATAGTGCTCTACTGATAACTGGAGAGGTTACGGACTGGAGATGACTTGCTGGTGTTTAAGTGGGAGGCTGCAGGGAGATGAGTGGCTTTGTTTTGACCCAGCTCTACCTTTGACTCTGTGCAGCTAACATACTGCTTCTTGAACTCTGTTTATGACAGGTCTCCAGAATTCAAAGATTTTTTACGGAAGGCACTTGACAAAAATGTGGACAACAGGTGGAGCGCAGCACAGCTTCTACGGGTGAGCTGTCCTGCTCTAGTAACCTATTAATGCTACAGTCCAAAGCCACCTCAGCATTCTGCAGTAAAATGGCACATTACAGTCTTCTGCAGCTTTGTTTATTGAGCTTGTTTGGTGCAGACAGATATAGATGACTGTTCTCTACTGGTGTCTTTTTTTCCCTTTGTGTGTTTGTAGCACCCTTTTGTTACCAGTGTGACTGACAGCAAACCTCTCAGAGAGCTCATAGCCGAGGCCAAAGCTGAAGTCACAGAGGAGATCGAGGACAGCAAGGAAGAAGAAGATGAGGAAGAGCCAGATACTCCTGTGGTGAGTAATTCTATTCTTGTATTGTGACACTACAAGAGTAAGAGATTAGCCCTCTCTGACACTTGTTTTTAATGTTTACGACTTTTGGTCCAGGTGGCTCCTGGGCACAAGCGTGCACCGTCAGATGTCAGCGTGGCCAGCTCAGAAGATGACAAAGTCCCGCCAACCTCCTCCACACTTGAATCTGTTTCTGAAAAGATGGAAGCTGAGCCCGTTGAGGACCAGATTAGCAATAAAGTGCCCGATGAGGGGCCTGGAACAAGCCCAGCAGTTAAGGGTGTGGAGGAAAAAGTCAATGAGGTGTTGGATGACAGCCCTGATGGCCTGGCTTCTGGACTAATGGAAACCAGTAAGGACCTTGCTTCAGAAAACCTTACCAAGCCCAAAGCAGATGAGGACCAAACTGAAAATGTTTCCGGAGAGACTGTAGCATCAGAGGCAGAAGAACCTGTAGATTCCTCTGATCAAATTGTCACAGGTCAGGACACAGAGGAGGAAAGTGAAGTGGGAGATGAAGTTACCAAAGTAGTAGAGGAAGAAAACCAGTCAGAGCACGTGAAACAAGATGAAGAAGTATGTGCAGAAGAGGTTATAAACTCACAAGATCAAAATGAAGATATACCAGAAACCGTTGAGCTTCCGTCAAAAGATGTTCCACAGGTAGAGGAAAGCAGCGAATCGTCAGAGATGTCGAAACACAAAGAAACAGTGGAAAAAATAGAGGACATGGCAAATGGCATGGATGAAAAAATAGATGCAGAGAAATTAGAATTAGGTGAAACGGTCACGAATGGAACCTCAGACACAAAGTCCAATGTGGATGAGTCCCCTGCCGAGGTTCTGTTAGAAAACATAACGGTAGACAATCAGTCTGAGAAAACACCAAAGGATGAAACCTCTGAAGAGCCAAAGCAGCCCCAACAAGAACGTCAGTCCATGGAAGATGTTGAAATGCAAGAACAAACACCAGCTGAGCCTGATCAAGTTAAAGACACAGCAGAGGGTTCAGAACAAGTGGTCACAGCAAATGATGTCACCTTAAAGGAAGATCGGGAGAAAGCAGCTCCCGCCGATGAGAGCATTTCCCAAGATGCCATCTCCGTCCAAGAGAGTGAAACCGACTCTGAAACTAAAACAGAGCATGGAAGCCCTGCTGTGGTCAAGTCGGATATAGAGAAGGACTCTGACTCTGGGAGCAGCTCTGCTGCTGATAGCAACAGCCTTGACCTCAATTTGTCCATCTCTAGCTTCCTGTCCAAAAGCAAAGAGGGGGGCTCTGTCTCCGTGCAGGTAAACCAATCTTCTGCCATTGAATAAACATTGACGTGATCCTCTGAGTCTCTGAAACATTCCTATTATGTTTGGCAGGAGGCCAAAGGTCAGAAGAAGACTCTGAAGAAGACGCGCAAGTTCATGGTGGATGGGGTGGAGGTCAGCGTGACCACATCAAAGATAGTGACAGACAACGAAATCAAGAATGAGGAGATGAGGTTTCTGAGGTACGTCTGTATCCAATTTACTTGGCACAGTCTTTGACTAAATATGGGATGTGACCCATTTAACGTGCCTGCCTTAAATAGTCCATGTTCATTTCACATTTCCCACTGCTTTCTACAAATGCCAGATGGGTTATCTGCCATGATTAATGCTGCATGAAGTTACTGTCATCTTCCATGTAGCCTTTTAAAGACAGGAGACATGCTGCCTTTGCTCTTTACGTTTATGTTGTTCGAATACCTGCGTTTTGGTTTTTGACCTTTAGTTTAACAACCAATTATTCAAACAGAACAATCGCAATAGGAAAAGTTGGGTTGAATGCGAGCGAGAAGCTTATATGGGAATGAGTCACTTTTTCCTTTATAGAGAAAAAAATTATATAATTTCTTCACAAAGTAAGTATTGCCCTTCAGATTAGTGAACACTGTTGTTGGTGTGTTTTTTTTAGGCGTCAGGAGCTGAGAGAGCTGCGCCTCCTTCAGAAAGAGGAGCAAAGGGCCCAGCAGCAGCTGAGCAACAAGCTGCAGCAGCAGAAAGAGCAGATCTACCGGCGCTTTGAACAGGAAACTGCTGTGAGTCATTTTCTCTCACTCAGTGGTGTGATGGCTGTTTTTTCTTTGTTTTTTTCTCATAACTGCTAGAAAATGAGAAACCTCAACTCAAATCCCATCCGGATGTAAAAGAGAACATGAAGCGTTGAGCTGAATAGTTTTTTTTATTCTATTTTATCATTCTGCATTTTGTGCAAAAACACATAATCTTCAAATAGATCATGATATCAAACACTTCTGTCATTCAGTTTTATATTGTTTGTGCAAGCCAAAATACCAGAGAAAAGCATATCCTAGCATTTAATCGATCCAGGGAAAGGGAACACCTACAGCCATTTGGTTTCTAATGATTTTACAGGCAAAGAAGCGTCAATACGACCAAGAAGTGGAGAATCTTGAGAAAAAGCAGAAACAGACCATTGAGCGACTGGAACAGGATCACACCAGTCGACTCAGAGACGAAGCCAAACGGATCAAAGCAGATCAAGACAAGGAGCTGTCCAAGTTCCAGAACATGCTGAAGAACAGGAAGAAAGAGGTATGGTCCTGCATGTGTGTATCTGAGTGGAAATGCTTCTATTTACCTTATCTATGGGAGCGTCTGCATGTCGTTTACAAGCTGTTTAACAGTGCATGTGTCCAACATCTTAGCTGGTGGCTTAGTTTCTTAAGGCCCTGTGCCCGGCTGCTGTGCCCTATACAGTGCAAGTGATGGCAACAGATACACTGGATTTTCTCTCTTCAGCTCCATCCTCTATATGTCGTGGCATCAATTATTCATTTGCCCTAAGGCTTTTGGTTCCTTTTAAAGAAACGCTTTGCTGCCAGTCTGTTATCATGCTTTAGAACTATTTAATAAAGTTCAATTTGAGGCGAGTAGACTCTTAAATTGTTATAAAACCTTGCTCTGGCCTTTATTGGTGTTCTTTTGCTTTTTATCCGCTCCTTTGTCAACAATAATCACTTGCTTCGGGGGGCTTCAGGTGTGCCTGTAATTGCTAAGTATTCTTGTACGCAGCTGCTTTTGAAGTCAAATGAGCTCATCAGCTTTTGTTGTGCAGCGTGAGTGCTTGGTCGTTGTTTTGGTGCTCTAATTTCTGAGGCCAGCTATTTACGTAATACAATAATTTGCTTAAAGCCAGTTCTATATGTTGTTGCCTTTAAGATGCAAAAATAGAGCATTTGCCTTGTGATAAATGTGTTTGTCTCTCTCTTTTTTTGTTAAACAATGTGTTCACTGTTGAAAATGTTCTCAAACTATGTATTGAACTAATCATGTTTCCTGTATGAGTGTGTGAGGTGGCTTTGGTCATGGGAGGGCCAACATTGTATGGATTTTCTGAGAGGTATTGGGTGCCTTTGGGTCAAGTAATACAGGCCTTGCATCAGAGGAACTGATATGGGATTGGAAATAAACAAAATATCCATGCTTATGTTATAATGCAGATAATCAGACTTGGTTATAGTTAACTGACTAACAATTGGAAAATTGTTATTTGAAATCAATGAAAATGATTGTTAAAGAAAGTCAGTTAGTTGCACTACTAAGTTGTTGTTTTTTTAAAACAATTTTTACCTACCATGGGCCAATCAATACATAACACAAAAACAATTCCAACTCAGTTCCTCTCCTTTTTTCTCTTTCTTTTTTTTTGGAGTCAGTAAAATCAGAATTATGGCTATGGGACTTAAACAGTGAAGCTGAAGCTACCATAGACACTAACACCTTCTGCTACGCTCCGGTCCAATCCCTCTTTCAACATGAATCTAACTTGTGCCGTTCAAACTGTAAGCTAGAATGTGCTCAGAAAAAAAAAAAATTGAGACTTGATCGGATTTGAAAAGCAGACCCTTGAAATCGAGCATGCTGATGTTAACGGTGTCGGTGGCTGGATGCTGTCTTCTTCCTCTCAGTGGGTCCTGCATGTGTCAAACTGCTGTTGGCTGTGCGCGTTCGGTTTTCAGAACATTTACAGCATCAACCAGTCTCTGCATACTCACACACTGTAGGCCAAACAGGAAGTCGGGCAGTCCCCCAAACACATGAGAAAAGAGCTCATGAAACGTTTAAAGGAAGACCTGTCGCTCCTCAAGTCAGCAGAGGTAAAGTGTTACCTTTCCTTTATGTGAAGGTCTGGGATATGGCTCTATCTTCCGCTTTCCTCTCCCTCCACACTGCCCTCAGTTGTATTGACTTCATTCGCACAAAGCCTTTAATTTCAACAATATATATTCTTTAGGTATTTTCCATTCCTCAGTTGGTTATGAGGAAAGATCAGAGCAGAGCAGCATTCTGGCCACATTGGATTTGCAGATTACTGTCGTTTGTTGGTCACATAGTTGTGTATCTATCTCAGGAGATTCGGTCAAAAAAAAGGGTGAATTTGAATTACTTCCGTAAAAATGTAAATTTGCCCTACTTTACCATTTTTATCGTTGGCCTTGGGCAACCCCTGAACACACTGAGCCAGTGAACAGGCAGCTGCAGCTCTGAACAGGCTGTCGTTGTGGAAACATGAACGGCAAAAGAAGGAACAAAAGCTGGCAGCTTTTCCCCTCGTATCAGTCACTCTGCCATGCTCCCAGCAGGCCCCAGCGGTTACTGACCAGCAGAAAATGTGGCAGAACACCCGTCACAGGCTGATGTCATGGGAGGAGGAATCTGACTTTGAATCAATTACACATTTGTTATATTGAAATGTAAAGTCACATTTCTAATGCAAGTGGCAGAGATCATGTGTTTGAAACGTTCCACTGATTTGCCTTTTGTCCAAGTCCTACATGATGACATTTTTTATTTTTTTTCCTGGATTCAAGTGGAATGTTCCAATTATGAGCCGCTTTGAAGCATGTACTGACGATATGAATATTAATAACTAATGAAATGGCTTTACCCTAACATTTAGCCAGACCTGTGCTCTGTGCCCTAAACTCGCTGACATTTGGAAAATCCATTTTATTACGTAACTTAGGAAGATTCAGTGCGAGTGTGGGTGTTTTGTGTGTGTGTGTTTGTGTGTGTGTGTGTGTGTGAGATCCCCAGCCTGCTGTGTGCTATCTGTCCCTGATCAGGGCGAGTGCGCTGTGTGCTCTCCTCCGCAGGCAGTGGCCCAGGTTATGATACAGTCTTTTCAGTTATCCTCATGCGCACTCTTCAACGCTCAGATGCAGGATGTAAGTGCCCCCGCCCCCCTTCCCCCACTCACCCCGTTTCTCTTCGCCTCTGGCCCATACTTAAATGTGTGTGAAGTTAAGTGACAGGTTCCTTTGTAACGGCTCACTTTTACTTTAAGAACGACACATGTAAGAGTTGGGCCTGTTTGTTTTTTTTTGTTTTTTTGTATTTTGAATGTTCTCATTGCATTTGTAGAGTGGTTCTTTCTTCCTCTCCTGCTGAGTATTTTCCCTCCATCTGCACTGTGTATTTTCTCTGGTGTGTATATGTATATATTGTCCGCAGAAAGCTAGATCGAGTCTGGGTCTTCATGTTGTGGCGAAGCTGTTGATCCACCTCTGTTGGAATCCTTACAGTAATGGCTGAATGTCACTTGTATTTTACACAAATGAACCGTCTTCATTTGGATTCCGCAGTATGCTGAAAATACATGAGAATGGCTGTCTTGTCAATTAAGCTGTTATTAATAAAGTCCAGAGAGAATAGTGAACAAAATGATGGTAAGTGCTGACAATAGGAAAAATTCTAGTGCATAATAATGATGACATCCTAATTAGTAGACTATTGAGATGTGGATGTAGCACCATATAATACAGCATAGCTGAGTAATTATTCACTGAGTCGATATGTTAATTATTATTCTTTCATTTCCATTTCACTTTTTAATCAGAGACAGCGGATGTTTGTACAGCACTCTGTTTAAGAATTGTTACACCAAGGATAATTAGTCACCCCTGAAGCAGGCCGGGCTTCACAGTGTGTAAGATAAGGAAGATTTTTGTCTGAAATTAAAGTAAATCTGAGTTTATATCAAAATTTTCCCTCTTTCTTCTCTTCCACTGTGGATATTTGCCATCCATGACCTCAGAGTGTTTCCTCTTCTGAGTCCAGTTGTGCTGAGTGTGAAGTGGATGACTAAATTATCTCATTGTACCTCAGGCCGTTTTGACGTGCATTTGTGCGGTGACATTTTCTCGTGCTTTCCGTCGTTGGCTCCTTGCTGTCCCTCTTTACAAGGCGTGGTGTTTCATCTGGCTACTCCTCACTGCCCCCCTTCTCTCTGACTCTTCAGGAGCAGGAGTTCCTACAGAAGCAGCAGCAGGAGCTGGACGGAGCTCTAAAGAAAATCATCCAGCAGCATAAACTGGAGATAGCCACCATTGAGAGAGACTGCCTCAACCACAAACAGCAGCTAATGAGAGGTAGGAGATGGAGAAAGAGCTCCTGGGACAAATGAAATCAAAGGCAGTGGCTTTTACGGGATAATATGACACTATGCATTTTATAGACATGCAGTTCATCACAGGGGATATAATGTAGTTACATCTTTTTATTTGTGGGGTTACCTTTAATAGGAAAGCTTGAGAAAGTATTGATTAATAATAAAAACAGAAAGCTTTGTTGTTTGTGTGTGTGCTATTAAGAAACACAGCGGTACACTTCAATCTGCTTTATTCCACAAGGTTTAACTAAAACAAAAAACTGAGCTCAAGCATCCTGTCCAACTCTTTAATAACTTTTGATTATGACTATACGGTCGTAAAATGCAGCAGACATGTCACAGCCTGTCCCACATCCCTGTACGGCCAACATGCATGCACACATGTGGGCACATCTGTAGCCTCTGTTTGCTGTTTTTGTGTGCATTCACACGTGTTTTTGTAGCTCGGGAGGCCGCCATGTGGGAGTTGGAGGAGCGGCACCTGCAGGAGAAGCACCAGCTGCTAAAGCAGCAGCTGAAGGATCAGTACTTCATGCAGAGGCACCAACTGCTAAAGAGACACGACAAAGTAAGAGTTGCCGGAGCGCTTTGCACGCTGTCCCATCCATAGCTGTGCTGAACGCAGAACCGGAATGCGTCTTACAGGAGATGGAGCAGATGCAGCGCTACAATCAGCGTCTGATTGAGGAGCTGAAGAACAAGCAGACTCAGGAGAGGGTCCGCCTGCCCAAGATCCAACGCAGCGATGCCAAGACCCGCATGGCCATGTTCAAGAAGAGCCTCCGCATCACCGCCACGGCCTCTGTCACCGCCGAGCAGGAGCGCGAGCGGATAAAGCAGGTGCGACACACTGTCGACTGGTGTTTGGTAGGATGGCCTCTCGTCACTAAAAGCAGAAGTGATCGAACATGCGGCAGCTCTGTCACACTGGTTCACAGTCACACCCACTGTGGGATCTGCCCAGTACAAACAGTTCTTTTGATTAATCCAGTCTGTCTGGATCTGAGGCCAGCAACTTTCCAGGCGCCATTTTACAAGCTCCACTGGTTTCATCAACCTCAAAGTCATGATTCACTTTGATTCTGATAGCACCAGGGAGCGCTGCGCGGAAATATTAAACAGAAGTGAAATCATTCACATTGCTGAAAAAAGATATTTGGAACAGAGATTTAGTAAAAAGGGAGCATTTGGCTCCTCAGGGCAGCGGGCTGCACGCTCGGGTCTCTGGACCACCTATTGAAGTACAGCTCAACAGAGAAAACAACAAGCCACCAGATTTTGAGGGAGACCACTGTCTGTTGTGTTTTGTCTGCGTGGTCCAGTTCGCTGCACAGGAGGAGAAGAGGCAGAAGAATGAGAGGCTCCATCAGCACCAGAAGCACGAAAACCAGATGAGAGACCTACAGCTGCAGTGTGACTCAAACATCAGGGAGCTGCAGCAGCTACAGGTGGGACACACACACAATGTGACTCTGTTCTCTCATTTTGAGATGTTTAATCATTAAACTAAGAGGTGATAAGATGTCCCTGCAAATTTTGTATTAGCAACATGCAAAAAATCACTTCTAAATGATCTAAAAGAACATTCTACAAGATCACTTTTACAATTTCAGATGTTGTTTGTTTTAGTATTTACCATTTTTGACCAGTTTTAGGACTGTATCTCTCTCAATTGGGCACCGACTATAATTCCAGCTATCTGTTTGTATTTTTTGTTTTTCCCAGTGCAGGACTGCATGATTCATTCATCCTGACAGCTCTGTTTACTCATTTCTTTCAGAATGAGAAGTGCCACCTTTTAATTGAACACGAAACCCAGAAGCTGAAGGAGCTGGATGAGGAACACATCGGGGAAATAAAGGAGTGGAGAGAGAAGCTCAGACCCAGGAAGAAGGTAGCTTTATTCTCAGTTTCCTTTTTGAATAAAACAGTGGATTCTTTTTTTTCCCTCCCAGTTTGTTAGGAAAACCAGAGCTCTGTGGTAAATGTTAACGTTCAGCTCAGTTGTGTGTATCTTCTGCCCCCTGCAGGCGTTGGAGGAGGAGTTCACGCGAAAGCTCCAAGAGCAGGAGGTCTTCTTCAAGATGAGCGGTGAATCTGAATGCCTTAACCCCACCACTCAGAGCAGAGTGTCCAAATTCTATCCAATCCCAAACCTGCACAACTCTGGTTTATAGCCTGCTCTGTGTGTGTGTGTGTTTGTGTGTGTGGGAGTGCAACAAAATGGACTCCTGTCATGCCTGTCCATGTTCACTGACTCCATCTGGTGGAGTCACGCAGACTTTTTTTCTATCTTTCTTTTTTTTTCTTTCAGTGTTCCTGCTAAACATGGAAGTGTCTGATTTTCTTTGATTCCACCATCAGTGAGATTGATGTGCGTACACATCAGTCAATCACGTATTCCCAGCTTACTGGGGAATGTCTAATGTAATGTGCACTTTTTTGAGCATGTCTAGGGTTGAAAAGTCTGCGGTTGGTAGGTGAGGTCAGTCATGCTTGTCTGATTATTGTGAGCACAGCCTGTTACAGTATGAATGATTTCCAGTGCCTCATGCATTCATTTTGTCCATCATTTCGGGTCTTCCCTGTGGTTGTGTGCAGATTGCAGTACATGCAGAGCCTTCAGACTGCTTTCAACTTGAAGAAGCTGTTATGATTTCTGATCATAACCCCATTTTTCTTTGACACAAGCTGGTTATGAAGCCGTATCTGAGAATCAGTTTGACTGCATATGAAGGTCTTAAAGAAGAAAAGAAAACAGACTGTTTCTGTAAGGCTGTGTTCAAACGAAATAGAGTAACCTGTGTAGTGTGCTCCGTACATATGAAGTTGAATAAAATACTGTGCATTGCCATCTTTAGTGACAAATGAACAATAATATGTCTGTGTATTTAGCACATGATGTCATTTCAGTGCAGTAAACCCACCTGTTCAGATAAGCACAGTGGGGACTTGTTACATTTTGGGGAAATGTTTTAGTACTTAAAGTAAATCATTTTACTTCATGAGTAATTCAGAATGGCACTCTTGCAAACGAATGATTTGTTATAAAGCATGAATCCTAAAGGAATGTAAAGCTTGTTGATTTGCACTGTTTTGCCTCTAGAGCTAAAGAGAAAATATGCAGTAGTAACCTTTGCCTCACCCAGGATAGTTTAAACCCAAAAGTCATGCAGCTGTTATCTCTTTTTTGTTTAAACTAATTATTTGACTCATTAATCATCATTGAATCTTTTGTATTTCAAAAGCTTTTTTTGTTCTGGTATTCCTCTCATACTGATGCTGTAATTGCTCTCCAAGGGGAGCTGGGATTCAGTGCTGTAATTGTATACGTTTCAGTGTCTTCGGAGGGTTAAGCCTCAGCTGTCTTTCACCTCAGTTTATTTTTGCCTCTGATTATAGAGTAATTTACAGTCTGTATGTGGCCATTAACATTGACAAGAACTCTGTCATGAATGCTGGATTTTTATTGGAGCCTTTGGCGACCATGTAATGTGTATGTCACCGTTTGATCCATTACATATCAGATTTTTATTTTATTTTCAAAGTGTCATCCTACCATCATTGAACATTTTACTGTATGCATTTTTCATGCCAGGTCAATTGTATTTAATCCATCTTTATAAATTGATTTATCTTTTCTCTTGTAAATAAAATCGACTGTTTATTTGACATATTGTGTTTTGAGATCAATTTACGAAATTGTCAAGACTCAAATGTCTAAAAAATAGCTTTATTTTTGTGTCTTTCAAATATAATGATCAAACATTAAGTTCAATCATGGAAAACAGAGTCTGGGAACATTTTTATAATTAAATCTTTCCAACACTTAAAGTCATACAGAAATATCAAATTCAGTGCTCTTTTACACAAAATATACAACTAAATCACTCATGTCTCATGATCATCTGAGTCACCAACGCTCAACCACACAAACGGACCTTTTGTTTTTATATAAGAAAACCTTTAAATGTAAATCTTGACTGAACTTCTTACTAAAATTACCCGTTCCCTCCAACTGAGTGAGTTACTTTTACATATCCATTCTTTATGCATTTGGAGAGTAAATTATGTAATTTCTATGGGATGAAATGAGTTATTGTTCTTTTTTTTTTTTAAGATATGTAGTCATCAAAACGATAGCAAATATAAAAAAGGTACACCAGCCAGCCAGTTAAAAAATGCGCAGTAAAAATAAAAACTATGACTACTTGCTGCTTGAATATTCTCTTAATCAAAGCTGCTTCTGGAAACAAACCAAAAAATACGAAAGGAAGCTTCTAACTCAGAATGGTAAACATTTTACACCCCCACATCAGAAGATGAAGTCTGTGTCACAAAAACACCGACCAGCAACTCCACCTCTTCTTTTTAAAGAGACTAATGCATTTTTATTTGTCTTCTACTGATTTCTGTCTACAAAAGGCAGCAATAAGAGCATTTCTGACCACTTGCTTTGGTACAGTGAAGAAAGCATTGGGATTGCATTGGAACAGTGGTAAAAAAAAATTAAAGCTTAAAGGAAATCTGATTTGATCCAGTCGGAAGTTCGCTCCTCAGCCCCCGTCGGCCTGGTGGTCACGCTGCTTAGCTCGACCTGCCACTTTGGCTGCAGGGGAAGAAAAACATCAGAATAATTAAACCACAATGAATGAAATACACTCATATAATTTTTTTCTTTATTTTTGTCTTTGCAGTCTGATTTGATTTGATGTAACTGAGGCTACCTGCTTCCCTCTTCTGCCTGTGTTGACTCTGGACCAAAAATGACCCTGGTAGTCCGGGGGAACCTGGTCGCCCTGGTTCACCTGTAATCATACAGTTCTCTTAGTTTGTCTTCCATGAAGACATTATTTACAGATAAGCGCAGGAGTGGGTCAGTTCATTTTGAACACACCCTTTTCTCCTTTGGGTCCCGGGTACCCTCTCTCTCCCATTGGTCCTTGGATTCCTGGAGGGCCGGGGATGGTGCCGTAAGCTTTTAAAGAGAAAAAGTAGTCAGGCGGGACCAGATCAACTTTTTCCATGTCTCAGTAGTTGACGTAGTGCATGGAAAATTAAATCAATGTCCTTACTCCTGAAGAACTCCATGAGGTCCGCTGTGACATTGCCGTAGGACCCAATGACACGACTGTAACCAGGTGGCCCTGGAGGTCCGGGTGGACCGGGGGGGCCTCGAATTGCTCGCACGTTCATCCTCAAAGGGCTCTCAACCAGATACTCCTGCAGCAGACCCTGATCTGTAAGATGGAGGTGGCCACAGCAGATACAAGGCAAGTGAAGCACCAGTTAACATCAAAGCAATATCTCCATTTGGTGGCTGTAGACTACTCACTCTTGATGTAATCTGTAACTCTCATGGCGACGTTGGAGTAGTCAATTGTTTCAGCAAGCTTGCTTAAATCAATATTTCCCTGATGAGAACCATATTGAAAGCCGCCCTGGTAGGATCCCTGGCCCTGCGTAGACGAGCCCTGGCCCTGCGTAGACGAGCCCTGGCCCTGCGTAGACGAGCCCTGGCTCTGCTGGTAGGATCCCTGGCCCTGCGTAGACGAGCCCTGGCCCTGCTGAGACGAGCCCTGGCCCTGCTTAGATGAGCCCTGGCCCTGCTGAGACGAGCCCTGGCTTTGCTGAGAGAAGCTCAGGCTCTGAGTGTACCCATGGGCATAACCTGGTTCTCCACGCTCTCCCTTCAGACCCCTTGGACCTGGAGGTCCTGGAGGGCCTACGATGGTCCGACGAATACTGTCACCTGAAGGATGCAGTTACAGTAATGTTTCTGTTGTGTTTAACCTCTTTTAGCACTGAACTTTTACAAGACACAGATGTCTATGTGTGATTCTTACTGGTCAGATACTCTTGAATTTCAGCTCGAATGCTCTCCCGAGGGAAGTTTCCTCTGTAGGAAACTGTGGCAGAGGAACTGCCCGGTGGACCCTGTGGACCTTGTGGACCTGGAGGGCCAGGGAGACCTCTGAACCCAGAACCTGGAGGAGTGAAGATCAACATGAGCAGACTCTGTGGAACCCCAATTATGCAAATTGAAATTGCAATAATTATGAAGATGACAAAGTAAACGTCCCTTGAAAACGTTTTTTAGATTTGGACAACTTGAATTGTAAGTGCAAGAAAAAAACATTTTGCTTTCTCTCATCGGTTTCAATTTGGTTCTCCTGTGTTCGACTCACCCTGCAGGTATCTCTGAATATCCTCAATGCTGTAGCCACGACCTCCTGCCCCAAACACAGTTGCAGTGGAAACTCCCGGTGGACCCTGAGGGCCAGGGGGACCAGGTAGCCCTGGGACACCCGGAGGACCAGGGTGGCCATGTTGTAAAGAATCCCTGATCCATGCGCGGAACTCTGCGGCTATGTGGATGATGATATAGGAAAACTCATTAGCGAGTGGCCTCTTACAAAGAGGCAACTTGGTTTGTGTTGATAAGAGGAAAGGAAACTGTGTTCTCACTGCTGGCCAGCGCAGAATAGTCAATAGCAGTGGTCAAAACGCCAGAGCCTCCTGCACCAGGAAGCCCTGGGGGTCCAGGAGGACCTTGTGGCCCGGGTGGACCTCTGGCAAACCCTCTGTCTGAAAATAACAACAAATCCACTGATTTGCACCACTTTCATGAACCTTCCCCCCAAGTTAACATTTTTCATTGGGACCACTACTTACCATTCAGGACATTGACGACATATGTGGCTACCTCCTCAATTCTGTAATTGCCTGAAAACCCTACTGATGTCCCTGGTGGTCCCGGTGGTCCTTGTGGCCCTGGTGGTCCTGACAAATACCTCCTCACATCATCTCCTAGACAGATCAAATCACAGTTTAGGCCCATGTACTCCCTGGAAATAGCTTACAGGTAAAAGTTGCCTGATACGAGCCTGTAAAGCTCCAGTGTAAACTGCACTCACTTTGAAGCATGGCGATCAGAGCATTGACTGTCAGGGATCCAGAAGCAGGTCCAGGAGGACCAGGTGGTCCTGGAGGCCCCTGAACGCCAAAGTTTAGGCTGGAATCTGAGCCTAAAATCCCACATCACAGTTAAGGGTGGCTCCTGTGTAATTATCATGCTACTCACTCTCACTTAACAATGTAAATACTTACGTCGCAGATATGCAATCATACGAGCAGAGATGTCTTCTATGGAGCCAGAGAAGGTTCCAGGTACTCCTGGGGGCCCAGGTGGACCCGGAGGACCAGGTAAGATGCTCTGTCTGAATCTGCCTGCACAGTGAAAATAAAAAAGGTAAAACACCTGTTCTGTCCCTTTGAAAGTCTGAAAACTTGCTTCAGGAGGACTCTTACTCAGGTAGTCTGACATGTATTGCTGCATCTCTCTCGAAGAAGCGAAGGAGCCAGGAGGACCAGGAGGACCTGGGGGACCAGGAGGCCCTGCTGTGACTGACACTGAGCCTATGAGGGAAAAAAATGTATTTAGGACTCAGAGGAGGACATGTGATCACAATTTGAATTGACGGGAATAAAACATTTGACTTTGTTCATAACATTCGAGAGTGTTTAGGAGGATAGTTATGACTTCCTTTACCTCTAGAGAGGCCTGGAATCCCAGGAGCTCCAGTGTCCCCTTAAAAGACGACATAAGAATGATCATTACATGAGAAATGCAGGCAGTTATAGTGAGCAGGAGTCATGGTGTTTTCAGGTTCACCTTTGACCCCCGGCAGTCCTGGAGGACCTGGTGGGCCTGGTGGTCCAGGGATCCCGTTTCCGCCATGCGTCGACACTGTAGGAATGGACAGATGTACGTGTAAGCATACAGGTATCTGAGTGGTGTTTCTGTAGCGGAACCGGAATGAGATGGTTTGTGTTCAGCTCAGTCTGACCTCTCTCAGTAATCCCTGGTCTCCCTGGGGCTCCTGGTGTACCTGCTGGGCCTTGTGGACCTGAGATGTATTAAACATTTTATAAGACAGGTAATATTTAGTAATAGGGAGATTGAGAAAACATTTTTCAAAACAGAAATAGACACCAAATATGATCAAAATTACCTTGGTATCCACGTAGCCCAGGGGAACCTAAATAAGGATTGATATGTTATGATAAAGTTGTGAAAAAAGCTAAGAAGAATTGTAGGTGAAGAGTTTTGAGCAGACTGATCACCTGTTGATCCTTTAGGCCCGGGAGGTCCTGGTGGTCCCGGAATAAAGGTTCCTGAAAGGAGAGCAGTGCTGATCCTATTTGTGTAAACATATTCTGCAAATAAGCTGCTAAAAGAGCTCTGATCATACCAGAGCCGGATGAGAAGACAGAGTCTCCTTTGTCTCCTTTAGGTCCTGGTCTCCCATAGCCTGAACAGCACAATGACAGCAAATGAGTTTGACGTAATAAGAAAGACACTGTGTGACTCAATCTCCTCAATTGTTGTTTAAAACATCTACTAACCTGGCTGGCCAGGAGGTCCGGGAGGCCCTGGGGGTCCTTGCCTTGAATCACCTACGAAAAAAGTATTTTCACGACAGTCATCGATACCATTAAAAAAAACGATTCACATTTAACTGATATTTTAATTGATTACACAACAACACAATCAGTTGTTTCGCATTCACCTGGACGACCGGGAGGCCCAGGTGGACCGGGTGGACCAGGCAGTGCTGAGGCTCCACGTTCGTTAAACTGACCTACAACATTTTCAAAGAATACATTCAACCTTTAGTATTGAAGTCATGAGCTGCAAGAGTCAAATTATGAGAAAGTTTTCTTGTGTGCACAGGGCACTGTGGAGGGCTATCTGGGGGTTTGCTCTTGAAATACGTTTCAGGTATTTGCAACTTATAATGTTAGTTCCAAGACATATCAAAATGTAATTGAGATACAAATCATAGTCATACTAGATAAGCTTTAGCCACCAGCTGGACACACCAGCTCACGGAACTATGTGGCTAAAATCTGGCTTTTTAGTTCTTGATGACCCATCAGTTGACCATTTTTTAAATGTACATCTTAAAGAAAACCTTTAAAAAGTACTTACTCTCTGAGGTGGACGAGGTTATCCTTTCACTGCTTCTGACTCCAGCTTCTCCCTGGTCTCCCTTATACCCTCTGTCACCTTTAGGACCTGTAAAAAGCAAAAAGGAACTTCTGTCAGAATCTTTGTGTTTTGGTGTCAATCCAAAAGCCATCCCCCTTGGAGGAGTAAAAGCACAATGACGTACCAGCTGGGCCAGGCAGACCAGCAGGGCCGATGGGACCTGAGGGGGTACATCCATGAGTAAACAGAGAGAGGGTGGTGTGAGAATAGAGATCATTAATATGATGTGCTGAATGCCATCCATTAAAGAATTTCGTTGTTTCAGACCTGATAATCCTGGAGCTCCTGCAGGGCCGGGAGGACCAGCAGGCCCTGGTGGTCCTGGGATTCCAACTGATGTGGAGCCAGCTGAAAATGAAAAGGGATCTTTAAATGTAATCTCTTTAATGACATGTTAACACGCTAATTCCATCACGTTCCCTCACCTGCGTTGATGATCCTTCCTGCTTGACCTGGTTCACCTTAAATCAACAAAAACATGGAAGACACTGAGAATATTTCTCTACAACAATGGTGCCGTGTTCCAAACAGAGAAGGCCCATGTGTTGACAGCAGCCGTACCCTTAGCTCCAGGTCGACCTGGACTCCCTGGAATCCCTAACAACAAGATGAACATACAAGGTCAGTGGGGAGGGAATTACACATAGAGAACTTAGTCAGAACACCTGTAGAAGTATCTAAGCCAGTAACAGGATGCCTACCTGGTGGTCCTTGAAGCCCAGGGACCCCTACAGAGTAAGAGATATCATGAATATATCTATTAAACAGAAATAATTGTGTAAGTGATAAAGATGCATTAAAGTAACTTCACCTGGAGCTCCAGAATCTCCAGGTGGTCCAGCAACACCTCTGATTCCAGGAGGTCCTTGATCCCCTTAAATTCCAATATATAAAAAACTCAATTATTGAAAGTTTTGGATTGTATGAAAGATAAAATTTGTTTCCAGCACAACTATTACATATTACTGATGTATGTAATGATAGTATTTTTAATCATCTGCGCTGCTTTATATTGAATTATTCACCTCTTGATCCTTTTGCACCTTCTTGGCCTGATGGCAAAAAGCAGAGAATTAACTAAAATTACTAGAAAATAAATCCACAAGATACTGACAGCTCATATTTCGCACTGTTATTTCTGTTTAAATGATAGTTAGTGCGGCACAAAGATATGTGGAGAGAATCAAATAATTTTATCATACATAACTGTTACTCACCCATAGATCCCCTAGAGCCTTTCTCTCCAGCTGGTCCCTGCAGACCAGGGTCACCTCAAAAAAGCAATATCAGACTTAGAAACTGAGACAAACTGTGCCCAGAACTAGTAAGTTTGGCAACTATGAAAGCAGCTTAATTCACCTTGCAGACCTCTGACGCCCTTTTCACCGGGGTCTCCTACAACAATTTATGAAAGTGGTTACAAATATCGACTGACCCCACCTGTCCTGTGCAAACACTGCTGGAGATACAACAAACCTTTGATTCCTTGAATTCCAGCAAGTCCCCTGTCACCTGCAGAGTAAAAGCGGTGACTTATCAGCGCCTGTACAGCGTACTAAATCTTACAGTTTCCGAGGGATTTTATTTGTAATAAGCAAAGTTTGTGAAACCCACCTTTAGCTCCGGGCAGTCCCGCCTCACCTTGGAAACCCCGAGGTCCTGGTTGACCTAGACAGGATTGAAGAAATACACCACTCAGAGAAATGTCTGTAGGAGCCACTACATTTGAAATGACACTGCATGAAACATAGAAACGAACCTGGTGGCCCAAGAAGCCCAGGAAGTCCTGTGCATGTGCAAAAAGAAAAAAATATATATTAGTTTTTTTTTTCTAATCATGCACAAATATATGTCCAAATTTTATTACGAAGAAATTTGGGAAATGTTCTATTCCAAGTAAACACCAGAAACAAATGTACCAGAGTCAGTGAATATTCTAATTTCAACAATCACACTGTGATTCCAATATAAGCCAGTATGTCACGGGGGTCATCAGGTAGGAACCCACTTTAATCTATTTCATCAGCCAGATGAGCTTGTGTACAATGGGGTCTGTAACCTGAAACTTCCTCATGTATAAACACAAAGGCTTAACAAAAAAGTGAGAAGCCGAGGCACCGCCTTCCTTTTCCTCAGGCCATAAAAACACAAATTGACTCTGTAATGCCCCCTGGTGCTTTCTTCAAGTTATGCACTATTCATTTCTACAGTAAATAACAGAGTCTAACCTCATATTTACATATTTACATGTACATGTCGTTCCAGGGATAAATGGGTTACTTTACCACTGTTCTCACCTTTTGTTCCGGGGGAGCCAGGAGGTCCCACAGATCCAGGTTCTCCCTGTGCCCCTAGACATGCCAAACACACGATGTTGCTGTGATTTAAATGGTCCGGAGTCGACATAAATATGTGAAATATATGCTCTGGTATATCTTTGAGGCTAGGATGTACCTCTTTCCCCTTTCAGTCCAGCACCCGCTAATCCTGGCTCACCTCTGGGCCCGGACGGGCCCTCACGGCCCCGGATGCCAGGTGGCCCCTCCAGTCCATGTTCACCTGAGCAAATATTTTGCACGCAGGCTTACCCACTCTGCATAAACTGAATAGTAGCATCACATATTCTGAGCTGAGACACCTTCTCTACCTTGACTTCCTTTCTGCCCTTTAGGACCCTCAGGACCAGGGTGTCCCATCGCACCAGGTGCACCTGAAGTCCAGGGGGACAGGCAGGAAAATGACCAAACATGACTTAATGAATACAAGCGAAAACAAAGTGTTGCACACAATTTGAGAAAAATGGTTCCTACCTGGATTTCCAGCGAAACCTTGATCTCCTGTGAGAGGCAAAAGCAAACAACATCTGATCATGAAGAGAGCAGAATTTTCCAAACAATTGTTCAAACGTTGCTTCGCTTCCTAACCTTTGGATCCAGGGTCCCCTGAAAACAATATAAAAATAAACCAATCAAAATACATCCTCATAAAGAGAAGGTTATTTGCATGCATGTGAGTAAAAACTGCTTTTGAGTTTTACCTTTAGGCCCAGGCAGCCCCCTCTCAACCTGCACTGAGCTGGCTAGAAGAGCTGAGACAGAAGACAACATGTTTGGGAAGGAGAACTTACTGGTCGTGAAAGTGCGTATTTTTGTGGAAGTGTGTTTACCTCTGAAGGCCTGTGAGTTCATTTCGGATCTTAACAGCTGCCGGATGCTCATCTGAAGAACAACATCATCTATGTATCTTCCACTCTCGGCCGTCCAGAAGGTGCTGCCTGTGAAAGTATTGCCACCAGCGCCCCCGGCACCACCGGAGCTACCACCACCAACAACACCAGTGCCAACTCCTCCAGCAAAACCAGTGCCAGCTCCTCCAGAAACACCAGTGCCAGCTCCTCCAGCAAAACCAGTGCCACCTCCTCCAGAAACACCAGTACCACCTCCTCCAGAAACAGCAGTACCACCTCCTCCAGAAACACCAGTGCCAGCTCCTCCAGCAAAACCAGTGCCAGCTCCTCCAGCAAAACCAGTGCCACCTCCTCCAGAAACAGCAGTGCCACCTCCTCCAGAAACACCAGTGCCAGCTCCTCCAGCAAAACCAGTGCCACCTCCTCCAGAAACACCAGTGCCACCTCCTCCAGCACCACCGGTGCCACCGAGGACACCGACGAATCGTGTGTCGGAGCTCGAGCCCCCTCTGCTTCCCCCGCCCCCTTCGCCTCCTGCTCCAAAGATGATGGTGGTGTCTCTGCCGGTACCTCGGCCGCCCAGGTCGATGTCAATGTCATTAGAAGAGCCGGGCCACTGTTGGCTGCGAGCCGAGACGATTGCTGCTTCATTCGCCAGGGTTGCAACCTTGCTCTTCAGCTTCCTCACATCTTCGGCTGAAAAACAGAAAAAATATTATTAGCCCATAACCGGACAAAGCAATACAGTGTTCTTTCCGACTAAAAAAAATAAATGGAAAGAAATCCATTAACATAATTTAAAAGCATAAAGCTTAATACTAATACTAAGTAGCATTTATTTTTTGTTTCTGAAAGAACTACGTTGTCATAGTTAGCAATCTCATTCAGAGAGTATTATCTTCCCAAACAAGACTTGATAGATTTTCATAGAATTATATGTGAAGATCCTTTTTTATAAAGTTGAATGATTTGGACAATCCTTAGTGCTGTTTGCTCCTTACAGCCTCCCTATAGACATTCATTTGCTTCACAGAGAAAACTGCAAAAAGTCAGAAAAAAAAGCATAGGGTGTACAGATTAGGGTTTTATTTTCTAACCTACAACACACAGAAGGTTAGCGTTTGGCTGAGCATGATCTGCTGCCTGGCTACAGTGATCCTGAGCGTAAATGTGCTGTGAAGAATCTGGAGCATGAATCCTGCCATATGTGTGTGCACCAGTTCCCGACTGCTGATCAGACTTTGAATGCTTACATGCATATGAAAACACTTTAAAAATCATAAACTTTACAGAGTGATTTTCAACTTCTTCTCGTCACACCTCGATGGCAGAAATCTGCATCAACAGCTCTCACAGCAGGAAAATCTGACGTCATCAGGCAACAATTTCCCAAACTTCTCAGAGGACAAAGAGAGACTTTATGAGTCAGAGAGCACACTGGATCAGATTTCCAGAGAGAGGGGTACAATTGCATGTTCCCAGCACAGTGAAAGAACAAATGCCCACAGGACTGTAAAAGCTGAAAAACACAGTTTATTGGTCCAAAAACATTCTCTCTAAAAGCGCCTCGTGGGAAAGCATTACCAGCCTCTCGAATCTAAAGGTGTCGTGCTTGGGGAGATCATTATTTTCCCATTCATTGGTAATCTGTAAGCCAGTCTCACCCAGGGCAATTAGGCCAAACAGGAGTCCCAAAAGAAGCAGGGAGAGGAGAAGTAGACCGAGGAGCCACTTCCACCAAGAGCAGCAGGCATCAGAGCAGCAGCAGAATCCTCCACCCCCGAAGACGCCGCTGTCCCGGTGAATCTCTGAGGGAAGACGCAATTCCTTTCACTAGAAAACTCTCAGTTACAAAGTCGTTTTTATTTGTTTTTGTTGTTTTTTCAAATCAACGGATCTTCCAATATCCCTTTCCCCGATTCGACAACTCAAGAATGACAGAAAAACACACAGAACCAATCAACTTTCCACATATAAAATCAATTCAGTTCCAACATTAAATTAAAATACCTGCATAGGTGGCTTTGTCTTTCATCACCACTCCAGATGAGCCATCTGATGGAAAAGCACATTTGTTTTTACTCATTTCCATTCGTGAGAACTGTGTTTTAGGAGGATTCTGTGTTCAGCATCCACTCACAGTAAGAGTTGCCTGTTTCTGACTTGAGTGGGACCGTGTCAATGTAGCTGGAGATGAGCTTTTCCTTCTTGATTGAATCTCCTGACAGAGAACCTGTTGATTGGATAGTTATGAGGTCATCATAAAACATTTTTATTTAGAATTAATAATTGAAATGGAAGAGGGAAATACTAGAAGAAAACAAAGTTTTTAAGGGATTTTGTGATACAATGATAATCAAACAAAATGAGTTAAAAAGATGTGCAGATACAGAGGCCAAAATGACGCAGCCATCATCCAAATGTTTCAGTTATGTACAGTCCGGGATAACAATAAGAGCTAAAAGTGCATCTAAATGAAGATCAGAGTCCTTAATTTAACAGAAACTGTGTTTTTTTTCCCCAGAAGGGGGCAGTCAGTTTGTCACTTACCTCCTCCTAAATGAACACCGCTGCTGGTGAACTGCTTCCCACTATCTTTAGCCAAAATCAGCGTTTCTGTGTCCCTCTTGGCTGGAACATTCTCCTTTTCAGATACCATGAACTTGTAGTCTCTCTTATAGGCATCCTCAGTTTGGGATCTAGTGACTGCTATGCAGAAATTTGGGAGACACATTTTTATTTACATTATACGCTTATTTAGCAGCTTAATTTTTAGCAGTTCTCCGGAATATATACCTGTTCCAGACAAACCCGTGGAGACCCCGGAGCTGATGATCCCAGTACCATTTGACACATTCTTCTGAACACCATATCCTGATAATGCAAAAACAAAATGCTGATTTCATTATCACATCCTCAAAAATATCTGTTACTGCCCAGACCTGCTGTCATACCTCCGAGGTTGGCATTTATGTTGGCGCCACTGGTAGTGAGCACTGCAGCAGAGGTGGGTGCCAGATTATTCTGAAAGCCATAAACTGTACACAAATAGATACATTAAAAAATAATTCATTACTAAAAGCAATAGGAAAAAGGACAGTTAAAACCTAATTCATTCAGGACATGGACTTAATAATGATTAAAAGTAGAAAAAATTCAAATGAAAAAGGTATATAACAGCTTCAAAAGGTTTGGATTTATTGGGTGTTATCATTTTTTAGGATGCACTTATAACATCTATCTTGAAAAAATTATTTCTCAGCTATTTAACTATTTGTTATTTTGATATCTAATTTTTCATTTTAAAAACTTAGCTGTGAACCGAATTTCACAACTCTGCTTCTTAATAAAAAAATGGGAAGAAATGAAGAGAAAAATATTCCTTTTTTTATTGTACTTATGTAGAACTTTCTGTCAGCACCATTGAAATGTGCTTACAGTATATTTTATTATGCGTTGGAACAAACCTGGCATTTTGTTTTTTATTCAAATTAAAGAATGACTTAAAGTCTGAAATAAGTCTCATGTAAATCAGCTGTGGAGAGATCTTTGTTTTGGTTTCCAAATAACTCAAAAGTGATGATGAATTGCATATATTTGCATATATCACATGACTCTTAACATGTTGTGGAGGTTGCTTGTTTTACTGGACATATTTCAGAGCTATAAGAGACTGAATCTTCAGATCGTGTCGAGTGATACTTGCTCTCACCTGACAGGGACGAGGGAGCCGTGAGGCTGATGGGTGAGGAGCCTCCGGGCATGTTGTTGGTGCCGGCCTGGCTGGCCTGGTAGGTGTAGCTGCTGGTATTTCCAGCAACAACCGTGTTGGAGGCGGAGGGCAGGGTGGAGGTGGACCAGGAGAAAGTGGGTAATGTGGAGTCCAGTGTATCATACTGGCCTGACCTCACACTGGTCTCGTACTGGCCCGACCTCACACTGGTATCATACTGGCCCGACCTCACACTGGTCTCATAGTGGGTCGACTTCAGACCAGCGTCATATTGCCCCGATTTCAGACCAGTGTCATACTGGCCTGATTTCAGACTAACACCGTACTGGCTGGATTTGATACCAGTATCACATTGGCCTGAGTTTAGCATGACATCATACTGGCCAGTTTGAACACCAGTATCGCGCACCCCTGATGTGAGACCTGTATCATACAGGCCGGAAATGTCGATGGTGTTGAACCCAGCTGACTGCACTCCAGATCCATATAAAGTCGATGCTGCCAGTGATAGAAAACACAAAGACAACTTTCACAGAAGAATCCATTGCTAAGTTTTTCTTAAAAACTTAAAAACTGATTAACTCATAATCGTACAATCGGGGCCTAAATGTATGAAAAGATATACTCTCATAGATAAACTAATAAGATTCACAAACTTTTTTTATATCTAAATTCCAGCTATACTGTGGATGTCACACTGGCAAAAGCAAAATGTTCCAAATCTTAAAAGCCCTCTGTTATATCTAAATGTTTCCTGGATTTCAGTGAGCCAGATGCTTGGTCATATCAGTGCGGCCCATCATCATCTGAGAGCACATCTAACTGTTTTTGGGATGGAGACGAAGTGTCTGTGAATGCACAGCATGCTCACACGTGTGACTCCAGTAACCGAATATACCTGACTGAGTGGCAACTGAGATGGTCTTGGTCTCCACGCTGGCCTTCTTAGGGACCGGCAGGGTTATGGAGGCGGTTGAGGAGCGAGTGGGGCTGACACTGCTGGAGCGCCCCTTCAGCAGTTTCTTCACGTCATCCAGCTCCGCCCCTGCCAAACCACAGCCACACATCTGAATCAGTCCACAGGTTTTGGGTGGGGGGGAAACTATATACATTTTCATTTTTCACATTTTTCTCACACTAAATGTATTTGTGAGGTTTCTGTTTCAGTTTGTTTTTCATAATGACACTAATATGAAAATGCAAATCAATTTCATCACACACTGAACTATGGGATTGATAATCAGTTACTAAAAGATTAAAGTACATTTTCAAGTATTGAAAAAGAGCTGACTGAATCTTCAAGGCCATTTAGTTTTAGCAGAAGCAAAGATTTGTTGGAGTGCTCAGGATTTATTTGGTTTCTGTCTTTAAAATGATTCCTTCTTTCCCTCTCTACTAAACGCAGAGCTGAAGTGAAGCCAACACATAAACGGATATAAGTAGAAACTAAAGAAAAAAATTGAGCTTTAGTGGAGTTTGGAGGGGGCTTTCCCACAAACTGAATTTAGATGAAAACCAAGTTGTGGACAAGAAAAGAAAACCATCAATTCTATATATAATAATGATGAAAATACTTTTTAAAAAAGCACCCACTAATGTTTTCTCTTTTGATTTGTTATCTTTTAACGTTTGGGTTTTTATTTTATTAGTTTGTTGGTCACATTTCCCTCAGGAAAAAAACATTCCTTCCATTAACTCAAAGAACTGAGCATGTCATGGTGACATGACAGTTTCAGGACAATGCAAACTAACTGTTGTGTAATGTGAACTGAATAACAGTAGTTGCTCATTTCAGACAACAGAGGGAGCAGCGAGAATCTTTACAACTTGCATTCTCTGTTTAGTTTCAAAAGCAGGAGTGACTCATGTGTGCCACTGCTGGCAGGCCAAATGTGCTCTTTAACTTCTCCCACACATGGTCCTTTTGTAAGTAAAAGCATGGTCACTAATGTCGAAGCCAAGCTCTTTCTGTTTTTGCAGATGTATACATTCTGTTTGAGAAAAAACTGGAGCACATGTGGTACTGATTGAAAAATCAAGGAATGTGAGAGGTGGAATGTGACTTTGTCATTGGCTGAGTTTTTAGCCAAAGCGTTTGACAGAAACATAATTCTGAAGACACACATCCCACAGGAATTATTTTTTTCCATAATCCATGGAGCACTTTGAATGAAAACGTTGCAGCTTTCTGAGTTATTGCATAACGACAGCCAGAAGGATCAGTGTCTCCGGTGGTCTTACATCTTCCTGCGCTCGGAGAGGCACTTTGTAATCTGGCTCTGATCTCACTCTCTGGAAAAAAGGAGAGAAAAAAAACACAACACATAATAGACAAAGGACTCCTGTTTTAATAAAAAGTCAGGCAGGACAATTCTGAGTCAGATGGTGCAGAAATAATGAAGGGTGGAGGGAAGGAATTGTTCAGTACCTCGGCTTTCGCTCCTCCCTCTAGAGGTGCTGGAGCCTGAAGGGAAGACAGAAAAGGAAAAAAGAAAGGAAACATCAGGAGGGGAAATCTCAAGTAACAGCTTTGGAAAAACATTCTGCTTTAGAAAAAAATGTAATTGTATAAATGTATATTTCATGTTCACTCACAGTAGTTTCCATAATCTTTGCGTGTAAATTCGGGTGAGGAATTAGCACTGGAACTTCCTATAAAAAGCACAATAGTTAGGCAAACATACACACAGCCCCCCCCCCCCCCCCCCCCCCCCCCCCCCCCCC